TCTCTCTCTCTCAAATAAATAAATAAAATCTTTAAAAAAAAAAAAAAAACTGTGCTAATCTAAAATAAAAAGGTGAGTTTACCCTGAAAAGGGTAAACATGTGAAAATGATTACAAACAAATAATATTTGTCCAATTAATTTTTTCTATGTCCTTATTCTGTTGCAGGAACTGCACTGGGCAGTTTCATATAGGGTATGTATTGTCCTCATAACAACCATTTATATCCCCACTTTACAGATGATGACACTGAGGCTTGAAGAAGTTCAATTAGTTACCTTTTGCTATACAACAGCTTACCCCCAAATTTAACAACTTAAAATAAGGAATGTTTATTATCTCACAGTTTCTGAGGGTCAGGACTCTGGGAGCAGCTTAGCGGAATGGTTCTGGCTCAGGGTTCTTTCATGAGGCTGTAGTCAAGCTGTTGGCTGGAGTAGCAGTCATCTGAATGCTGGAGGATATTAACTTCCAAGTTCACTTTCTGGGTGACTGGCAGGCCTCAGTTACTCAGAGCAGTTGGAGTAAGGACCTCAGGTCCTAGTCACATGGGCCTCTCCACATGTTTGCCTGGATGTCCTGAAGACAAGGCAGCTGACTTCTACACTGAGAAATTCAAAAGAGAGAGAGCCCAAGGCAGAAGCAGCAGTCTTTTATAACATAATCTTAGAAGCGATACATCACCATTTTGTACTGTGGTCCATTGGTCAACGCTGAAACACTGTGGGAGGGGACTATTCAGGGGTATGAATGCCAGGAGGTGGGAACAGTGGGAGCCATCTTAGAGACTGGCTACCACAGAAGTTAAATAAGTCACCCAGTTTTACATCTAGGAAGTGACTGAGCCAAAATTTGAAAGTATGTCTGTCAGACTAAAATTCCAATGCTCTTTCTACTTTATAGGAGTTGTCGGACATCTAATTTTTTTTTTAAGTTTTTTTTGTTTTGTTTTGTTTTTGTTTCTTTGGCAAGTTTTTGTATAAACCAAAGCTGGGCTACCCAAAACGTTGTATCATATACACAACCAGACTTGAAAACAAATAAGGATTTTTTAAATGTGATTTTTCAATGAACAGATAAGGGATTGTACTTACCTCTCATCCAATATTTATTGGACAGGCATGAAAAAATGATGTGCAAATTCAATTGCATAAAAAATCCCGAGTTTCAGAAGACTGGTCTGATGTTTGTCATAAACATTGTAGGCTGACTTACCCAACACCATTCTTTATTTATTTCTCTCTTATCTTCCTTCACTGTAAAAGGTGGAAAAGTTAAATGGGAATTTTCCCAGGCTCCTTTGCAGCTAGAAGAGCATTCAGTGCAGCACTGCCCCAGGAAATTTAACTGAAGTCTCTTGGTGCTTTTGTTTCTTGATAAAGTGGAAGGTCCTCCTTGTGCATCCTTGGCCCGTCCCTCCCAGCCCCACCTTCTTCCTGCCACAAAAGCAGCCTTGATCACTGGGTCTCATTTCTCTTCACTGAGCTGTTGAACCACATCCAGAAGAACTCCAATTCCAGACTTCTTGTTATGTGAGAAATAAACTTTTGTTTGGCCTCCCCATCCCTTAGCTGGGTTTCCAGTTAAGTGCAGCCATAAGTATTTCTAATTCTTTCAGTGTGAGGCAACTTTAGAAGATGTTAAAAAAAGATCAGCAAATCCTAAGGGAAAGAGGGGGTGTTAGAAAAGTTTTGTGGCTTGTTAAGAAAACTTATTTCTAAACAGTTTGCCATGTAACCTAAATTCCTACATTATGCCAGCTGAGGGGTAAGATAGCCACAATGATGTATCTTATAATTATTATTTTTCCTTAGATTCTAACAACAGCGTGGGAAGTTAATCTTTTGCAAATAGTGCTGGAACCTTCTAGGGGCGTCTCTCCTGCCCTTTCCCAACCATCCCTGACCAGCCTCCCTGACTGCTCTATGGGTTGGACCATTCCCTTTTCTCCTGTGTCAGCTCATTATATTGAGGTCTTTGCCGCAGCTGCCAATGCCCAAAGTGACAATTTTTCTGCTGCTATCCACTGAAGAGATATGTGCTGCTGCAGAGGTCCACCCCGGGACCCTCTGTAGTGGCTGCAGTTGCCAAAATACCACAGGCCCCAGCATCAAATGTTGCAGAAGCTGTGGGCCAAACGCTGCTGGCGTCTCAGTGGTTTAAAGACTTTGCTTCTCTATTGCACTTTTCTTTCTGTTAGGGAGTCTCGTCAGGGCAATCCCAAAGGGTAACCTGAGAGGTGAGCACTACATTGAACGGACATCTCTCTTTCTCTCTGATGATTTCTGCTGCCCTTGCATCACATTTATGAGCCTTGACAATCTCTTCTCTTACTTCTCCAGTGGTACCTTGGTCCCTTATAAAAGCGTGCATTCACTGGCCTGATTTACTGGCTGTGACCTTCCTCCCCTGGCTTGCCCAGCTCTTAGAATGAAACCACCTTAGGCTCAAGCTGTAATTCTTGAAACATAAAGGTCATATAAAGTTGGCCTAATTTAACTTGTAGCTTTATACACTAATAAAAGTGTATCTGAATTAAACAGAATAAAAATAGACTATTTAGTATTTGGGAAATTACATGGCACAGTCTCAAAGCATCCTAGAGGTTATCTGTTGCCTACAGAGTACAAATAATGCTGGGAGAGTCAAAGATAGTCTCGCTTGTCCAACCCAACCTCTTCCCAGCATTTTAACTGACATTTAATGAAAGATCTTCTCAGTACCATAGGCTTACCGAGGATAACAAAACTATTGTTTTTACAAAATTATTCAGCTTAGCCAGAGGAAATACAGTGGTGTCTGTGAATGTTATTTCTATCTTCCAGCCACCAAATATTAACTCCCTGGGTCACCCTATAGGAAACGTGTTATTCAAGATAGGAAATTTTACTACATATGAGGTTCAATGAGAAAGTAGATTTATCAGACATGTAATTTTCAGAAATTTCCATTCCATTATTACAATGAATATACAACTTTAAATGTTGCTTATGCCTGGTATTCTATTCAAATCAAACACTGAGAACAGTTGAGAGAAAATTTCAGCCTAAAACCATGTCAGCAAAAGTATCTTTTTTTTCCTTTTTCCTGATAAAGAATTTACAGCCGTGAGAATAATTCAGTTCCCAAACACAGTAGGACACATGGAAAGAGTGAGGGGCAGATTTCTTATAAGCCCCAGGGAAAACTTAGGGCAAAAGAGATGGAAGCCTGGGTGCAAAGTGACAAAGAAAGCACAAATGTGTTAATGATGCAGAAGTCACAGCGAGGCTTTGAATGGTGCTGACACATCAAAGGGCACTGTGTGCCACAAAGAGGAAGATCATTTCTGGAGAAGGACAAAACCATTTGGGAGAATGCAGCTGAAGCCCTTGATTCACTCGTTAATTGTGCAGACAGGCTGCTGTGTTTTGCTGCCCAGAGGTCATGAACCTGAACATGCTTCATCCCACCTTCTGGACAAACAGGCAAACAACCCCAAACCAGGCTGTGCTCAGGGACTTTGTTGAGAAAGCAACTTCCTAGGCAACTTTAGCATACGAGAGACAAATATTCCCATCAAAACCCATTAAATAAAAGAGGAAAATTCTTTGATAAATAAGTACTTAAGATATTTGTCTTATTTGACTTTTTATTTCTTGGCTATAGAATACGTGAAGCCCTACACTGAGCTGGAAGTTAAAATAGCCACAAGAAAACCAGAACTAGTTTTCTACATTTTAAATAATTCTATAATAAAAGACATAAAATAGAAAACTATAAATATATAAATAAAAGACAATAAAATAAAAATAAAAGACAATAAAATAGAAAACTAAAAAAACGTTAGGGTTTTTTTGGGGGGGCATTTGTTATTTTCATTTTATTCTCCTTTTTTATACATTCCAAATTCCTTACAGTAACCATATACTACTTCTCTAATGAAAATAATATAACTCTTTTTCTTATTGTGACAGAACCCCCTACACAAGTACATTTTCTAGACAAATATTCCACTACTCAAAATGACTCATTTTCTGAGCTTAAGTACTCAAGGTTTTATTTTAATTTAGCATGCAATAGAAAGAAAAACTCAAGAGACTGCATACGTAAGACAGTTTTATTGAGTTCATTTAATTTCCCATTAGTAATGAAACTTTTCTTCACATAAGTCAGTGGTTTGTGTGTGTATTTTCACAAAGGTTGGCATATGGGAGATAAGCAGTTAATTTTGTAATTATTTATTTGTATGTGTTGATACAAAGCCCTCAGGAATTTTAATAGAATATGACCAGAAGAGTTATCAAGATCCTTCCTAAAAAAAAAAAAAAAAGGAAGTTGAATTGGCATCTTCACAGATTCACGTAAACCAAATTTAGCACCTTTAGCAACTTCATGTTGCGAACCACACAGTCACTGTTAAAAACAGTTTCATTTCTACTCTGATTCCCAAGCCCACACCTGACCTCCCTTCTTTCAGCAGATGCCTTGCCATTTCTGTTTATGGAGAGATGTTTGCTTGTTGCTTGAACTTCCTCAACGTCTCACCCTCTCAGCTCCAGTTCAGGTCTCTTGGCTTTTTTTGACTGTTGAAGAGAAAGGATGTGTTTTCGGCATTCCTACTCGAGGCCTCAGACTCCTCCTCTGTTCTCTCCTCAAAACTTCCATTCAGCGGACATCCTATTGCTTGGATTTCCATCTCTCCATCTTTACTGATGCCCTTCTTTCAAATGAAAAACAGAGCGAAATGGGACCATAAAAAATGAAACCTTAAAAAAGCTCAAAGGAAACACTAGTTAAAATGTTTACCTAGAGGTGCATCGGCTAAAACTACAAACATGATGAAATAAACCTCTACTTTCTATAAATGTAGAGGACAGGTAGGTACTTATGTTCTTAAGGACTTAGAAGATTCATATTCTAAGAAACCATCCAGCTGTTTGAAGGACCAACTTCAGCATCACAGAAGCTCAGCAGGCCCACTATGTGAGCAAAGGCCAAGGGATGGTACCCTTGTTTATGCAACATACATTGTCAATGGTTAAGCAGTCCTTACCCGGTAACTTTTACATTAGATTGTTTTCTAAAAATGCCTTTTCGTGTTATGTGCAAAATTAAGTCATCTTCAAAGAAAGGGTTTATCCATTGGACACTTGGGTATCTTTCTTCAAGACCACACTGATTTTGTGCTTTCACCCAAATAAGAGTAGACTCTGCTCATCTTAAAAGTCATTTTTATGACTCAGGGAGACTGAAACATTAGTATACATTTTTTCTAAGAATCCAGGAAGTGTTCTCTCTCACCAAGGATTAATATAATCTACTACAAGCGGAATTTGGAAAAGGAATAAAATGTGATTCATATATTCACCAATAAATACTGATGGAGGGCCTCCCGTGTAGGCACCATACTAGGCATACAGGGACAGAGGTGGCTCCAAAGATAAACCAGATATGGACTCTGCCCTCAAGGCATTCACACGGTGCTGGGTGACAAGACACAGACATGTAAATAATTATGGTACAGGATAGATAATGATTCATGCCATAAGTGAGGCAAAGACACCTAACAGATTTCACAGGAGGAAGTGACCAACCTTAAAAATCTGTGCATCAGCAATTTCCTTACTTCATTTTCAATCCGAAAGCCCTAGTGCAAATCTTTCTGCGGGAGACCATCTGAATGTAGTAAAAGTTACTATTGAAGAATCCCCAATAGAAAGTATTCAAACTGTGGCATCTTTCTGGTACTCGTACCAAGGTTCAATAATACCCACCCACATGACTACCTGAAGTCCTGAGGGTGGTATCTTCTAGATGGGGCTGGGTCAGGGTAGTAATTGCCATGCATTTATGGGGCACTGCAGCTTTAAAAGCATGTTCCCATCCATTATCTATTAATTATTATCCCCAAGGACAAGCTGGCACCATGTAAAGTGCTGCTAGGATACCAGGGTTCTAATTCTGCTCAGTTCTCTCTGATGCAAAATGAGGGGTTTGGTCACTAGACTCTCTCCAAGGTTCTGCATGTAGCTAGGTGGGTAGGGCAAATTTTATTATCACCATTTTATAGACCAGGAAACTAAAGTGAGGAGAGCTCAAGGGACCTGCTGATAATAATTGATATCCGGTTCTTGAGATTAGACACCAGACCTGAAAAGGACAAAGTATTTTGTACTATGTCATACTGAGAACCACGCCCAGTATTTGTGGGCAAGAGGACAAAGAGAGGCCCACATAGCAGTAATCTAAGTATTTAAGTTATAAATCAAGATAACGAACTGTTAACAAAATATGATTGATCTCTCCTCCCACCCTGACAAATACCTCTTTACAAGAACCTGGATGGCGAGGTGTGAATCATGAATTCCTGGACTCTTCTAAGGAGGAGGCTGGAAAGGGGCAGGGAAGGGAAACCTGACTCCACTGAGCCCTCTTTCGGCACCTAGTAGGGGCCCAAAGTGCCTGGGAGTGCACACCTCAGCCCTCAAGTCCAAGCACTGCCCACACTCCAACAAAGAGCCATTCCTGGACCCAAGACTGAGTTCAAAGGTCCCATCAAGTCCTGGAGGAGGGTTGGTACTCTTTGGGCAGAGGATTCCAGAATTCTGACTCCCTGCAGCCTCTAGAAGAGGGTTCGGGTTCCTTGACCCCATGGGAGGGGGGCATTACAAGAGAAGAACCACAGGGGAGAGGTCCCTCTTGCTTGGGTTTAAGAGACAGTCTGATCACACTACCTGAAGACTGAACCTAAGAAAGAGTAAAATCCGGGAACTGTCTTGTGAGAAGGTAGTATGGCTTAGTAGTTACAAACCAGGTTCTGCAGCTAAACACCTGGGTTGGGATCCTACCTTGGCCACTCACTGGCTGTGAAATCACAAGCAAGTTACCCAGTATCTTCTAGGAACTCAGTTTCTTCATCTTTAAAATAGATATAATAATTATTATGTGGAGTATATGAGACATGTAAAACGTTTGCCAGACATTAAATGCTGGGTAAATAAATGTTGTGGGGGTTCTCTTCAGCTACGTTAGGTGAATATGCCTTTGAGAGGTTTTTCTGGAGAATTATATAAGCATAGTTATATCCAGGCTCTCTGATAGTCAAGGTTAAACCGTTCTCTCCACTAAAAGGGTGGGGCCGGGGGCAGGGGTGGGCACCACCTACCCCACCCAAGGCGGTGGCTGCCGCCCACATCCCGCCAGGTCGGGTGGCGGGGGACTTCACGCTGCAGATTCTGAGCTACAGCCAGGAACTCGCAAACGTGGCCGTGAGTCACGGCGGGACTAAGGAACTGAAACCAAACGTTAGCACACAGCCTGGTTCGTCTGTCTGATGCGCAAGGGGAGTGGGAAGTAGCATCGGATAAAAAAAAGGCAAGACTCAGAGCCTGGGTTGACGCAGCTCAGTCCCCTCCTACCCGCTTCACTTTAGGGCTCACGCAAACTTCGCTGAGTCTTCTGACAGGTCTTGACATCTCTCCTCCGCGAGGAAGGAGAGAGACTCAGAGCAAGTCGAGGCATCTCCCTCGCACCTCCCGTGAGTGCGAGCCCAGCCAAATTTGCAGACCGCCTGCCCAAAACGAAGACGTTTTATAAGGGCAAGCCTGGGCATTCCCCCACCCCTCCGAGTGACACGAACTCAAAGTGGCCCATTTCCACACCCTAGTCCCCCACTTCCCTCCCTGCAAAACACTTGGCAACTTTGCTGTTGCTTGTGGACCAAGAACTGTAACTAGACCTTTCTGCTCCCTTTAAGGGACAGTCGTGACTGGGCACTGCGAAGTCATACTCTCTCGAAAACACCAACAAAGAACTATATTTAGCTCTGAGCTCTCCGCCTAAATTCCTCTTATTTTTTCACTCGGAGCTTCAAAACGACTAGGTTGGGGAAGTGGGAGGAAGGGGGCGGGGGAGCAGCAGAGAAAGAACAGCTGTGCCTCCGCCTCCCAACTCAATCTCTATAAATAACCAATCGTGAGCCGAGGCTACTTTTTAGCCAATGAAGCAACCCAAACTGGTAAAACCTTGGCGGTAGCCAATGGAACAACAGTTAGGGGTGTGAGATTTGCGCCCCGGAACCAATGGGCCCCGAGTCTGGGAGAGGTAATTTGAGCTGGAGTGTGGGTGTGTGGTGCAAAAGCTTCCTATTTCTAAGCCCGAAAACCTGTTCTGCCCACTGAGCATGCCCTGACTAGCTGCAGGCGCCACCACGACTTTTGGATTGGGTTTTCGTCCGACCTCCGGGTTTCCGCCCCAGCCGAGTGGGGACGTGGGTGGGACGCGCCGAGTCTCAGCCCCTGAGAGCTCCGGTCCCGAGAGGCAACCCCTTCCCCTGTCGGGACAGGATTTCAAGCCCCAGAGTTCCCGTTTTCTTTGTCGAGGAGATGAACTGCAGGAGGAGTGGCCAGAGAAGGCCAAGTGGTGTTTCCGAAGCGAAGGGTTTAGAAAAAGCTGCACTGTGGGTGGGCAAAGATGCTCCACCCGCTGCTCTCGCGCTCAAATGCCCTTTGCGTCTCCGGCCCTGAGACGGCGCACACTCGCTGCGGGCTCGGAGAGTGGAGTCCACGAGCTTTTGATAACCGGAGTCCGCAAGAGCACAGCCCAACCCTTCACGGGAGCGGCCCACCGCGCCCACGCGCTTCTCGCAGAGCCACCGCCCTTATGCACGAACCCGTCCTCCCACACCTTCATCCTCTCACCTGAGCTTTCCCAGCACCCCTCAAACACCTACACACTCCCACACATTTCTCATCCAGCTCCTGGACCAGAGCCTCTCGCAAGCCGCTCCACCAAACTCAAATCGTTAGCCCCACCCTCAGCCCCGCCCCCTCCCGGCCCCCCGGAAAACCAGGAGCGGCGGATCAGCCGGGCGCGGCCGTCGGCTCACTGGGCATGCTCGCCTGGGCGGGGAGGGCCGGGCTGCGCGCGGCGAGTAGGAAGCCCTCGCCCCGCGGACGCTGCGGGAGAGAGAGCGCGATGGGCCGCGGCGGTGGGCGCACGCTCTACGGGGACTCATGCCACGCGCGTTCCGGTCCGGCGCGCAATTAGCAGCCACCTCCGCAGCCCACCGCCACCACCTTTTCGCCCTCCCGGGCGGCCGCAACGAAAAGCTGCAACCGTCGCCTCGCACAGGCTGCCGGCATTGTCCTCCAGGTCCGCCGCCAAGGCTACCGCTGCCGCCGCGGGTTGCTGCGGGGCCCCGGACCCGCGCCCCAGGGACGCGCCGCCGCCTTCGCCAGCTCGGCCCCCGGCCCCTGGCTCCCGGCCCCCGGCCCCCGTTTGGTGATTTCTGAGCCCTGCGTTCCCTAGCCACTCTCTCCTAGGTTTTCCCTACAAGGCTGAGGAAGAGGAGAATTCGTCCCAGCCGCCAAGCCTAGGCTTTCTCCGGCGCGCAGCCCCGACGGGGCCGCGGCAGGCGCGGCGAGAGCGCCGACGGAGCCATGAGAGAGTACAAAGTGGTGGTGCTGGGCTCGGGCGGCGTGGGCAAGTCCGCGCTCACCGTGCAGTTTGTGACGGGCTCCTTCATCGAGAAGTACGACCCCACCATCGAGGATTTCTACCGCAAGGAGATTGAGGTGGACTCGTCGCCGTCGGTGCTGGAGATCCTGGACACGGCGGGCACCGAGCAGTTCGCGTCCATGCGGGACCTGTACATCAAGAACGGCCAGGGCTTCATCCTCGTCTATAGCCTCGTCAACCAGCAGAGCTTCCAGGACATCAAGCCCATGCGGGACCAGATCATCCGCGTGAAGCGGTACGAGCGTGTACCCATGATCTTGGTGGGTAACAAGGTGGACCTGGAGGGCGAGCGAGAGGTCTCGTACGGCGAGGGCAAGGCCCTGGCCGAGGAGTGGAGCTGCCCCTTCATGGAGACGTCGGCCAAAAACAAAGCCTCGGTGGACGAGCTGTTCGCAGAGATCGTGCGGCAGATGAACTACGCGGCGCAGCCCAACGGGGACGAGGGCTGCTGCTCGGCCTGCGTGATCCTCTGAGGCGCCCGCGGCTGCCGCGCGCCGGCCGCGCTCTGCGCACAAAAGCCAAACGCACCCGACTCTCTCAATGTGATTTTTCTTTTTGCTTTGAGATTGGAGACGACTTTGCATTGGCCGGGGTGTCCCGGGAGCCCGGCTGGCCTCTGCGGCCGGCGCCCCCTGCTTCCGCCCCGTGTCCGAAGGGGTTCCCCCGTCCTCACCATCCGAGACCCGGTGGAAATGTGGTTCTTGGAAGCATGTACGTTTCTCATTGATTTTGGTTGACGCATATTTCCCCGTTTAAATAGCCGTTAGGGCGCTGTATTGGCAGCTTGACACCAGCAAGCGAAAGTTTCAGCCTGGAAAAAAAAAAAAAAAAGTGGGGTGGGGAGGAAGAGTACGGGGAGAAGGTGGAAAGGGAGGGGGGATTTTTTTTTTTTTTTTTTTTCCCCAACAACCCTTTTCTAGTTCCAAGTTTTAAATACATGGAAGGAAGTCCGGGAGAACCAAATGAAGGAGCAGGAGGAAGGGAAGAAACTTTTGTTTTTTCCTTGTTTTCCAGGAGTAGCTGGAAATTAAGATCGGGTTCCTTTTCTGCCAGCTTGGAAGGGCAACCGTGTGACTGATTGTGATTCTAAGGATGTCTATGCAAAGTTGGATTCTTATTACAGTGTATCCAATCTGAAGTATGCACATCTGAACTGGGACTGTAAACACTGATGCCAATACAGTGTGGGGTGCCAGAAAGTGTCTGCTGATATTTGTGGGAAAAAAAAAAAAATCTATTTTGTTTACCTACTGTATCAAAGGGGAGTCTGGGGGAGAACGGTAGTATTTTTTTTTTTTATCAGCTGTGAAAAAAAAATGTTACAGATCTGCACATTTTTGTGTGTACTATTGTGTGCGTGTGTGTGTTTTTTGTTGTTTTTTTTTTTTAGTTTAGCTTTTTCTTTTTGGTTGGCAGTGACACGTTTTGATGACTAGCTCTTTAAAATACAGTACAAAGACTTCAAAAATGTGATTCAGGGCCCCCAGCACCCCTGTGTCTGCAGAGTGCCTTCAAAACTCAGCTGTTCCAGCCGGTGCCAACCTGTGAACTTCCCACCATATCCCAGAATCTGCTCTTCCCCAAACCACTTCCTAGTTTCCTTTCTGTAATCTTCCTGAAGGAGCCAGGACAATAGGGCCTGTTGTTTGGTGAATTTCTTTATTATTTCCAGCCTTTAAAGTGTAATTTCCATGTCTTGCAATGTTTTTTTTGTTTTTTTTTGTTTTTCCCTTCTTTCTTTCTTATTTTGCTTCATTGTGTTCAAATGTTCAGGTATTTAGCTCCCCTTTTATATTATTTTTAAAAAATTTTTTGGTTATCTGTTCTAGGGTGTTCCTCCAGAAGCAAAGAGCAAAATTTTACTGTTGTGATGTACCAAGAGAATTCTAACTAATTGTAATTTTTAATTCCAGATACGCGTTTAATCATTGTCTCTTCATTTTAAGACTTTTAATACAAATGTCATTTTTAAAGAAACAAACCCAAAACTATTGTTTGTGTTTCTGTTTCATATTCAGTGATTTAATATAGGATCATGGCTGAAGTGGATAGGGGCAGGTGCATGATGCCCCCAACAGAAATACCAGAGTGACAAGTTGGGTGACATTACTTCCAACTCCTGAAATATGGGAGAAAATCATAAAGGTCTAGGCAGCCCTGGGGGTATGGCCATTATCATTTGACTACAAGATAGGCAGGATATTGAATCTGTTCTGCTAACAGGGAGGGGTTTACTTCACTGTGGGTAGAGAAGGGGAGAAACCAACTGCTAATACTGCCTTCGATTTGGTAAAGTCACTCATCACCTGACCAGGCAGGGCAGTGCTTTTAACTTTTCTTTCTTTTCTTTGTCTTTCTTTCCTCTTTTTTTTTTCCCAATGTTTTGTTTTGTTTAATTACATCACATAACAAGTCAAAAACATGTTTGAGGAAGATCATTTCCAACCCTGAAGTTATACCTAGTAGTGTTTTCTGCAGTACATTTGTATGGGTTGCACACAGTATCTTAGTACTTGAGGTTTTGATTTAAAAATAGGTCATTATATTAAAAAGAGAAAGAAAAAACTAAGATAAATTCTTTACTCCCATTAAACGGCAATTTGTGGACCATTTTGACCTCATGAAATTTTCCTTCTAACAGTAGGAGGCAGTGTGAGCTTTTTACTCTATTTTATTTCAGTTAAGGGCCACTTTACTAATATAACCTCTGTAGAATAAAATAAAGTATATGACTATACATCAAGAGCACATGATACACCTTAGCTGTGTGAAGTGTAGGTGAAGTCGTCTGTTGGGGAAGCCAAAAGAAGTTACAGGCCACAGGCATTTTTAAAGCTATTAACATCTTGCCTTAAAATGTTCTGTCCTTTGCCCAGGTGACCTGTCACTCTTCCAGCATGGAGGAGGAATAGAGAATTGGCCTGTGAGGTCCTATGGCCATTTTTTTCATTCTTGATCTCACATAAGTTTAGAATCACTCAGTTGAAAGGCAGTATGTATATGATAAATACAGAAATTAAGAGAAACAAATTTATGTCTTTGCAAATGTTAAGTCTTGCATTTGAGTAAATTTTAGTTCTTCGGTAGATGTAAAGTGTTGAAAATTCTGAAGACCTATACCAAGTGCTATGTGAAGGATTTTTTAAAAAAGACATTTGGTGACTGTTTCTTACGGCTTTGTTTCTTGTTTGTTTGTTTGTTTCTTTAGAAACCTTTTGACATAAAGTGCTGCCAAATATCTAACTAACTTAAGACGTATATACTCCTGAAAGGAGTTTGAAAATGTTTGAAAACGGCAAATTGGAAATGAACTAGGTTGCTGGATGCATTAATCATCTTCACACAGGATTTAGTCACTTGCATGACTAAATACTTTATAGGTCTGAGATGCCAGGGCAGAAGATTTTAATATGCTTTTACTGAGTACTGTAAAATAAATGCTTTCTGGATTCTCAATGAAAGCAATTCTGTGTGTGTGCCTGGAGCAGAAATGTAGTAGTTCTGGGTTTTGTAGTTTTCTCCATTATTTTCTTGACAAAATTGAGGGACATTGAGGGCATTGTTTTAAAGAATATGTCAGCTTATTTGGCTAATAAGAGCCCCTTTTAGTAGTATGGTGTGAAAAGATAGGAGCGTTTGTCTCCATGAAAAGGTTGGATTGACGTGAGAGTGTTAAAGGAAGCGTGGGAGTTTGCTGTAAGGCAATCACCTGCCCCAACAGAAACTGGGTGGGAGAGGAAACTTTATCTTGGAGAGCAAAAGTTAACTTTTAAATTTGACCCCTGCTGTTTTTTTTAACAGCTTTTCCTTTTGGTCCCTGTCATCCAAGCTTTGTGTCATTTCAAAGGATTATTTTTGTCCTCCTTTGGTAAGAACCTCAGAAAAATGGAAGGTATCATCATCGGAAGTCTAACAATGTCATGTTTGGGATTTATGGCTTAAGTAAAACAATTTCTGGGTTGTTAACTATAGAAATAGACTTCACCGAATCACATGTTAGGATCCTATCTGTTTGGGGTTACTTTAAAAGTATGAGGCTTCGTACTTCCTGACTAGTTAACCTTTTCTGCAGGAGGGGATCCTAAAATGCCTCATTTCTTTGGTCTGTTCTGGGAGTTTCATAAATGTTTTCTCCAGCATGTAATTGCACCTTTTGAGTCAAAGTCCAGTATTTCTCACAGGTAGGGTGGGAAAGTGAGAGAACACTGCTCATAGCAGCTGACCTTGAGAAATAGATACAAAATGTCACAAAAAGTATATATTT